GACTCCGGGGCCCCCAGCGCCGCCTCCCGACGAGCGCACCTCCGGACCCCCCAGTTGCAGCGACAGGGTGAGTGCCATCCTAGGCGAGGGTGGCCTGGAGGGGAGGTGGTCAGAGGTCGAGGGGTGTCGAGAGGGACAAAGGTGGCCCGGCCGAGGCTGGACCGCTAGGTGTCACGGCTCCTGACGGACGCCAGCCGAGTCCCTGACCCCGGGTCTCTGAGCAGTCACCCACCTTTGTTCAGATTCCCATCCGGCTAATGGAGTCCCAAACTCTGCTCTGGCCGCCCCTTAACCGAGCCCTGGGACTGGCGGCCCTCTCTTCGCCGCTCAGTGGGAGCCGGATCTGCCAGCCTTTCTCTAACGGGAATCCGAGGCTTACCGCCCCCTCCCCCCTCCCCTAGTTTGTGGCTCCTGGGAGCATTAGCTGAACGCCCTTTGATCTCTGACCCCTCCCCCTCAGGGCAAAGCCAGCGCACTGCTCCAGGTTCATCTGGAGCCCAAGCATCCTTACAGGTGCTGACGCCCCCAGGAAGGAGCTGAAGGCGGGGTTTCGCCGCTGGCCCTTGCTTTACCCAGTGGGACCGTGGTTCTGATTCAAGAGGCCCGCTCGGTCGGTCTGCAGCTGCTCACACAGATGCTGACCACTGGGGCTGTGGCAGACCCATCCCCACGCCCACTCCCCTTCCATTGTTTCCCCCCACCCCCACCCCAGGTGTGGGGCCAGCCAGTATGCAGGACCTGTTGCCCAGGTGGAGTTAAGTAACTGATGTAACTCCTCTCCTCTCCTGGTCTCCCTTCCCAGGGTCCATTCTGAATCTGCAGGCATTGGGCTAAAGAGGGTGGGGTGGGGGGCATGCATTGTTCCCCACAGTGCCTCGGAGGCCCCAGACCAGAAGCCAGCCCCCATGACCTGCCCCCAGACTGGCCTTACCTCTCTCGAAAGCTGCTCCCTATCCCGAGGTCTCTCCAGCCCTAACTTCTGTGCATCTGACTTTGAGCAGCTCAGGTCCTCATGCCCCTTTCCACTTACCCCAGGAGATCCGCTCACCAGGGTTTCATGTGGTTGAAGAGCAAAGTTGCTGTCCGAATTCATTGGCTCCTGGGTTGAAGCTTTCAGCCAGAAAACACAGTTCTGCCAGACTTCCTGGATGAGAGAGAGGTGTCAGGGTCAGAGCTGAAGCCTCAGGAATGTGGATTACTATGTTTCCCTGGGCTTCTGCCATGGGGCATAGCTGTCCATCCAGCCCGAGATCTTTGCCTGCAGAAGGCTCAAAGGGGGCATTTCTCAGGGCTCTGCATTCTTCCCAACCTTAGGCTCCCCTCCAACCTAATCATGCCATTTGTTGAGTGCTGCTGGTAGTGGGACTGAGCTAGATGGCGTGCTAGGCCTCGATCATACCCTTGATCAGCTAGTCTCCTCCCCACTGACCACTGCCTGCTGGCACATGGCCCTTGGCCTCCTCCTCTTCCCTGCAGGGTCTTGCACGAACCCAGCAGGCTGGGAGCACACATGCTGTGGGCTTCTCCAAGACAAGGCCCATGTCCTCCTCCTGTCTGCATCTCTCAGGTGCCTGATGGATGCTTGCATACAGAGGTGCATAAATATGTCCTGAGCAGTGACGGTCCATGGCCAGGGCAGCTGAGGGACAGGGACTCTCTTAGGGACCCCCTCCCCCTGCACATTTTCCCTAAAGAGATCCCCAAGGACGGAGCTGCACCCACACAGATCCTGAGGAGACCTACAGCTGCTTCTCACTGAGGGCGTTCATGCCTCTGCCTGGGCTGGCTCTGATCTGTGAGCTCTTCAGACCTCGGTGGCCTGATGTCTGACTCCTTTGTTAGCGCAGGGGCAGGAATGAAATCCAGCAGGATCTCCCAGGAGCCACACAATCGGTGATTTCTTTAGTGGGTGTGATGAAAAGAACCTGAGTCGATGCCACCTCAGCTGGCCTAGGGCCAGGACCTGGGGCCTCCCACCATTCAGGAAGCAGCTCCCCTGCCCTGTTAGAGCAGAGTTGGGGGGGGGAGGGTGTCTCAGAGCCTTCTCCAGGGAAAAGCTCAGACAAGATGCCTGAACCCCTTTTACCCTAAACCTAGTGTGGCCAGGCATCCCTGGGCCGACTGAGAGGTACATTCCTGGAAAGCCCACTCAGGGAAGGTGCCCTTAGGCAGTAAGGCTGGTCCCCGCCCCGAGACCCCTGCTAAACTACTGTTTCCACACTCTGAGGCTGTCTTCTTCCCTCAGGTCAACTCTGTAGGGCCTCTTTGCTCTGGGTCTCCAGAGGTGAGATGGGGACTGGGGGAACCTTGCTCTAGCCTGCTTTTCTTTTTCTCCTGGAGCCCAGTGGCAGGTGCTGGTGGGTCAGAACCCTCTGAGATGGGCTGAGTCGTGAGGTGCGATGAAGTGGTGGAAAACGTTTCCATGAGGAGCCAGAGATGGGGGTGGGGGTAGAAGAGAAAAGAGGCCTGGACTGAATGAGAAGATGCCCAGAGAGCCCTTCCACTATGCCAGCCACTGACCGCCCAGGACCATCCACTAAGCCTGCTCCTCACCCAGGGTTCTGGCCTTCAGCCCACCCTGAAAACCACTCCTGCAGCTGGCAGGGGTGCAAGGGTAGCCATCTGGGCAGGCCAGGCAGGGCAGGTGTGGGAGCAGCAGGAGCCGTGCCCTGCAAGGAGCAAGCATGGGCCTTGCCATCTGGTTGCAGGAAGCACTCCTTGGTGGGGCTGGGCCCTTGTCCAGCCTCCAGGCCACACTCTAGCAAAGGGGCTAGAGAAGTGGGCCTTTCCTTGCTTTTGCTCCTGTGTCTCAGCCCCAGATTGGGGTGAAATCTGATCTAATCGGGGGAGAGCGTGGGTATGAGGAAGGGGCCCTGATTGGATGAGGCTCCAGACTGCCTTTGACCATCTGTATAGTATGTCCTTTGCCTGCATCATGCCAAGATGGGCGTGTGTGTGTGTGTGTGTGTGTGTGTGTGTGTGTTGGTGGGTGGGGGAGGGTTGTGGATGTGGACAAGGACAGCCAGCTGCCCAATAGTGAAACCAAGACTCCTGTGCTCAGTACATGGGGGTGGGATGGGGGTGTGCTCCTCGGGTTTGTGAATCTTCAGATACTCTATGCAGGTATTTGAATGTGTAAGTATTTTTCTGGAAAGATTCTTATGGTGGTTTGCAGGCCCCAGAATATTAAGAACTTTCTTCAGGATAGAGACATGCATATACATATCACCAAGGGCTTGGATCCCCCTCCCCGCCACCAGGCCTAAACCTGGATGTGAGTGGACAGAGTAGAGAGAGTCAAGTGAGGACATAGGGACCCTAAAATAGACTGGCTGTGTCTGCCCTGGGGCCAGGAGGTCGGAAGTAGGACCTTCCCTTAGCCTGCGCTCATTGTATATTTGTTGTGGAATTGCCTGACTTCCACCCGGGAGCTGAAAGGGCTGCACTCTGTGGGCAGGCTCAGTCCTTGGCATTTTTAGTTTGTGCGTTTTAATTTTGCTTCAGGTCACTTTTCCTGCTGCGGTCTGCTCTTTGGAGTTGGAGGAGGAAGTCCTGGGAAAGGGAAGGGTCCAGGTCTGGGTTCTTCAATGGACTGCTTAGACCTCTGAGGCAGAGAGACATCTTCCCTGGCCCTCCTGTGGCCTCGGGAGCTGTGCTTTGAGAATGGCAGAGGCCTAGGGTTATGTGACAGGCCTGTCCACGCCGCCCAGCTCTGCCCAGTCGCACTGCGGCACCTGGTCTCCTGCTTACTGGGGGCACGGAACAGCTGGGGAGTCTTGTGGCATCTAAATGGAAGGGGCTGGTTGGACTGAGCCAATCCTGGCCAGCACCTGGCGCTGAGAGGGCTTCCTGCAGCCATAGACCCTCACCATAGAACCCCAGAGACAGTACTGAAAACAGAGGAGGGACCCCCCCCCAAACCCTGCCTGTAGTCAGTCTGTGAGTGCCTCAGAGCCTGGTACCCCATCCCTTAAGGGCTTCCCAGCTCTGCGGAGGCACCTTTCTCTCATGGAGCTTGTTCGGCATCCATCCCTGTGAGGTCCTAAAGCACCCAGGATATCAGCATTTTCATCTTCCATAATATAAGAGCTGGCATTTACTGAGCACCTACGTGGTGCCTGCACCTATGTTGAAGCAGCAGACATGAACCAGAGGACTCCAAAAAAGTTCATTGGGAAAATGTCATTATCTTTTCGCTCTTATTTTTCCATGAGCTTTTAGAAGCCCCCTCCCCTCACCCCTACCCATCCCCACTCACCCCACCTCCGAGGCCAGTATTAGACTAGCTGGTCTTTGCAGCAACCCTGGGGAGAGGATTCTATAACTATCCTCAGCTTGTGTGAAGAAACTAATGTTCCGGGAATGTTCAGTCATGTTTGTGTGGTCTCACAGCTATTAAGTAGCAGAACCAGGGTCCAGGAACCGCCACGCTAGGGGGGCCTCAGCCACCTGTCACCCATGCCCAGCAGAGAGGAGGGGTCTTTGCTGAGAAAGAAGGGGAGGAGGACCCTGGATGAGGGACCTGGTGTGTGTTACGAGCTGCGTTCACCAGGACTGAATGCAGAGAAAGCCAGTACTTGCCACCCGATCCACAGGTGAAGGTGGCCACAGACTGCCTTAGAAAGGGCAGGGGACGCCAGGGTGTGACTTGAATGCTTTGTGAGCACAGCATGACTTTTGTCATTTAAAGGGGGGTCATAACAGATTGAGTTCGTGTGAACGGGTTTCCCAGGCACATAAAACAGAAGCAGGGCATTCCAGTAAGTGGGACCTGCGGGCGCGGAAAGTTTGATCGTGGAGAAGGTAAATAGTATGTATTTTGAATTTACAAGTAGAGGAGAGAGTTGCTGCCTTGCCCAGATACTGGGAAAATCTGAGATTCAGGAGTGCCAAGGTGACAGGCAGTGTGCCCTGGGCAGGCTCCTGCACTCTGAGGCCGCAGTGCCTGAATTTCAGTGATGGTCACCATGTGAGCTGCGTTTATTGAGCAGCCCTGCTGGGTTGGTTAGTGGTTGCAGGCCCCACGCCCTGGGCTGATACCTGCAGGGCCAACCGTTGCGACCACCTGCTGCTCCTGGGGCGAAAGAAAGAATTCCTAGAGTCTCGGAAACCCACAGGGACAGTTGAACGCAGGCCTAGAGACGTGCACTGTGAGTCAGAATTGACTCCATGGCAGTGACAGTGAACATTTCCTGAGCACCGACTCTGTGTCAGGCTTTGGGCTGAGAGCTGTTCTATGCCCACATCAAAAGCAAAGCAAAACAAAAAAGAAATCGCTGCCATTGCGTCCATTCCAACGCAGATCCACTTCACAGGACCACACAGAACTGCCCCACCAGGTTTCCAAGACTGTCAGTTTTTACGTGAGCTGACAGCCCCATCTTTCTGCCTCCCAGTGGTAGGTGGATTGAAGCCAGAGACATTGCAGTTAGTAGGCTAATGCTTAACTCACTGTCCCACCAGGGGACAGCTCCTATGAGCTTATGCGCTCCTATGAGGTAGGTAGGAGCCCTGAGGACATGGTAATGTGTTGGGCTGCTAGCTGGAAGGTCAGCGGTTCTAAACCACCAGTCTTTCTACTCCCACAAAGAGTTAGTCTCAGGAACCCATGTGGGCAGTTCTACCCTTACTATAGGGTCACTACGCATCAGAATCGACTCGATGGCAGAGATTTTTTTTTTTTAAGTGAGATAGGTACTATTATCATCCCCGTTCTACAGAGGAAAAGACAAAGGCTTGGAGACCTTAATTGTGAACTCAGGAAGTGGAGGGAAGGGGAGAGGACTTGCAGAACCAGCATCCTGCAGTGGTGTGCCTCCTCTGAGTCCAGTCAGGGAGCTCAGCCCCCACTTCTGTGTCTGTCTCATGGCCCAGCCTCCTATTTCAGGCTCAGGGGCGGGTTGTATGTGTATATGTGTGTGTGTGTGTTGTGTGTGGGTTGGGGTGGGGGTGGGGGTGGTATTCCAAGTATGGCAGCTGCTTTGGGAAGGGCACAGACTAACTGGAACACATGGGAGAGCTGGGTTCTGGAGGTGCCCTGCTGTACCTCATGCAGGAGGGGCATCTGGTTGGCAGGGGGAATCTGTTGTTTGGTGCCATTCACTCATAGCGACCTCCCTGCCTGGTCCTGCGCCACAGCCGTGCTGTGATGTTTGAGCCCCTCGCTGTAGCCACTGTCAGCCCATCTGGTTCCGGGCTTTTTCCCCAGACTCTCCACTTGACTCGCCCGGCGCCTGGAAGTGTCCCTGGGGCATTAATGCTCTACCAGACGCTGAGCCTAAATAGCAGCCCTGGGTTTTGGTGCCTTCCCTGAAGGCCCTTGGCTGCCAGTTCATCCTTTCTGCCCTGGAGCACAAGAGACTTTGATCACTATTCAAATGTAAATCACCCCAGAGCCGGCTCCTCAGGCCCTTGCGGCTCCCAGGGCAGAGTGTAAAAGGATCTGAGCTCTGTTGATCCAGAGGATGGAGGTTATGGGGAGAAAAAGGCCTTTTCCTGCATCCAATAAATACACCGAGCATCTACTATAGGCCAGGTCCTATGATGGACGTGGGGTATGGCAGTGAGGGGCAGACCGTAAGCAAAACAGCCAATGATAATAAGTCAAAGGTGTCAGAACATAGAGGGACACCTCATCACCACCTCCTCCTCGATTGGCCTGAAAGCCCCAGTGAGTGTCCACCCTGTCAGTCTCCCCAGCTGGCGCCACTGCTCCCAGCTCCCAGCCTGTGGGCGGCTCCTCTGGGCGCCTCAGTCCAGAGAGTGGGATTGGGACATCCTGGAACAGGGTGTGGAGCCAGGAGTGGAACAGAGGAGCCTTTGAGTTGTCCACAGAGCTGCCACCTGTGCGCCCACCGGCACTACCGGTTGGGGCTGAGGAAGCCCATGCTGACCTAGGAGGGGCTGAGAGTCTGGGCACAGGCCCAGCACTGCTGGGCAGGGACGCTTGTCATTCTAGTAGTGCTGACTGAGCTTTGAGAGCGGGGCTGGAGAGGCTCTGTGGAGTGGGGTGTGGGGCTGGGCTTGGGGACTTGGGCCAGCGGCTCTGCTCCCACAGTCGCCCCTGGAGACAGAGGCTCGCTTAGAAAGCTGTCCTCCTGTATGGTCTGGCATCCCACCCAGGATTCACACCTCCTCCCCGTTTTATATGACCTGCTTTAACACGTATTTACCGAGAGTTTCGGACCGCTAACCACAAATCAGTGGTTCTCAACTTGTGGGTCAAGACCCCTTTGAGGGTCAAACGACCCATTCACAGGGTCGCCCAATTCAGAACAGTAGCAAAATGACAGTGATAAAGTAGTAACGAAAATAATGTTATGGTTGGGGGTCACCACAACACGAGGAACTGTATGAAAGGGTCACGGCATTAGGAAGGCTGGGAACCACTGCTTCTCTGGGACAGGGAGAGACTGTTTGCCCCTGTCTCAGAAAGCAAAAGGGGCAGTTAGTGTTTTACTCCGTCGTAAAGGGCCACTATGCATCGGAATTGACTTGCTGTCAGCAACCATGGGTCCTGCCCTCAGGCTAGCAGTCCTGGTGGTGTCATGGGTTACGCGTTGGGAAGCTAATCACAAAGTCAGCAGTTCAAACCCAGCAGCCGCTCCGTGGGAGAAAGATGAGGCTCTGTGCACCCATACAGATCCCTCGGGGCAGTTCTGTTCTCTTCGGGGGTTGGTGGGAGTCAGAATTGACTTGATGGCGGTGAGTTTGATTTGGGGGGTTTTGACCCTTAGGATGGATATTGTGTCGGTAACACAACTTCCCTCCAGTGTGTACAACTCAGCAGGGTGGCGCCTAACTGGAGCTGGTGTGGGGGCAGAAAGACTGTCGAAAGAACCCGATGAGAATCACTACATGCTTGCCTGTCCAGAAGGCAGGGGGTGTGCTCCAGGCCAAGGGAGCGGCGGTGAGGTGAAAACAAAGTGCTTTCCAAATACAGAGTGAGCCAGGGTGGGTAGAGAGGAAAATGGGATTTTTGAAATCCTTTTAACTGTGGGCTTTTTCCTCAAGGCACAAGAGAGCCCACTGCAAGGCTTAAGGACTGTTTGTCCGTGAGCTCAGTTACTGTTGGTGAGCAGCCCTGTGCTGAGAGCCAGGCCGGGCCGACAGTTAACGACAGGCTGCTTTCATGGGCCTCTTGGCTGAGTGGGTGAGGGTGTGGGTGCCAGGTGGCCGGGGAGGGAGCAGTTTGGCGGGGGCTTCCTTTTCTCGACTTTCAGGAAGTATGAGGACGAGGCCTCCAAGGAGAGGGAAGTGGACCCTATGGTCTTGGGTGCTATCCAGTCAAACCTGACGTAGGGCCACCCCAGGTAGGCCACTTACCAAGTGTTGCCCCCAGGAAGCTGCTAGGTGGGTTTGAACTGTCAGCTTTGTGGTTAGCAGGCCGGGGCTTGGCTCTTCTCCTGGGTGATGTGGTAAGAAGTCTTTTTCAAGTTCCCACCGTGAGCCAAGGTGCTTGTTGGAGTGCAGAGACAAAATGACCCGGAACGTTCAGGCTCATGGGTGTCCTGGTGGTAGTGGCCGTTTACAGGGTGGGGAATGGTGGTCGCAGAAGCAGGGAAGGGGCGGGGGCAGGCTCAAAGGTGGGGAGGGGGGTTCTTTTTCCATCTCTGCCTTGCTGGGGGCTGGCGGGTCCCTGGCTCCCAGATCCTGTAGTCAAAGGCAAGGCAGTCACCCCACAGTGACTCCTCCCAGCCCATGGGCTCCCATGGTGCCCATCCTGCCCAGGGCCGTGGCCTTGGCTGAAGTTTAGAGAAAGGCAAGGGTGTGGGCTCGTCATGCTGCAGGCCCGGGAACCAGCACCTGTCACCGCCTGTCAGCCCGGTGCTCTCAAGGCCTGGGCAGACAGGGTGGGCTGGGCTCCATCCTCACCTCAGCAGCGGGGGGGCCCCCCCCTCCCCCACCCCCTAGGAGGGAGCCTGGAGAAAGAGACCATTGTCCTCACCTGCACCCTGCCCACCCACCTGCCCGGAGCACCATGCACTCCTCTCCAGGGTGTGCAGCTTGCGGTTTGCTCAGACGACTGGGAGCTGGGACGGAGGGTGGCCAGGAGCCATCTGTGTGGGAGAGAGGGGCTGCGTGGGAAGTGGAGGTCCAAGGCGCGGCTGTTCCGGGCCCAGTCCTCTTAGTCAAGGGGATTTCCACAGAGCCCAAGTCCTGTCTGTCCGCAGGGCTATCTGTCTCACTAGGCTTCTATCTCCCAGGACAGCCAACATGCCCACTGGCAGCAGCAACACTTTGCCCACAGGGTTTCGATGCTGGCGCCTTCACTCACGTTGCATGGGCTTAGGGTTGTTATTCTGGAAGACTCCATTTCCTCCGAGTGGGGATAATCCCACCTGTTTGACAGGGATGCTGGGAGGGTCGTCAGCAGAACTGGCACAGTGGGTTCGGTCTTTCCTTCCTTGATCAGCATCTGGGGTAATGCCGGTAGGCAGGGGGTGGGCCGATCCTTGGGTTACCTCATTTCCTGCTTGCTCATTGAACTCTTCCAGAATCTTTGTAACCAGGTCTCCGAGTGACTTCATTCCCTCCGCAGAACCACCTGCTGTAGGCTCTTAGCGAACCATGACCACGGCCGCCATGAATCCCAGTGGCTTCACCCTGGCCATTTAGTCCAGGGCAGTGGTTCTCCACCTTCCTCATGCCATCACCCTTTCACACAGTTCCTCATGTGGTGGTGACCCTCAATCATAACATTATTTTTGTTGCTACTTCATAACTGTCATTTTGCTACAGTTCTGAATTGGGCGGCTCCTGTGAAAGGGTTGTTCAACCCCCAAAGGGCTCGAGACCCACAGGTTGAGAACCATTGGTCTAGGGGAAAGCCCAGAGGCAATACAGTTCACAGAAAGGCAACCTGGTAAAGGGGAAATCCCTGCAAAGGAAGAGCCAGCGTGACCCCAGGCAGACTGAGACTGGCCTGTCCACATAAGCAAGCCTCCCCCTGAGCAACTTACCCAGGGGGAGCAGAGTGACCTCTCAGATGCCTGACGCCTCCTCTCTCCACTCCGAACCCACAGCTGGCGATCCTAGAAGACTATGCAGACCCGTTTGACGTGCAGGAGACTGGTGAAGGTCCAGCAGGACCCTCCGGAGCACCAGAGAAGGTTCCCGAAAATGATGGCTACATGGAACCGTACGAAGCCCAGAAGATGATGGCTGGTGAGTGAAGGAGCCAGGGAGGTCCTCGCTGAGGCTCGAAGTCTGCAGAGCCAGCTCGGACTCGCACATCGAAGGACTGATTCCTTGACCCCGAGTTTCTGGCAGATGTGGAGAAAGACTTCCTTGTGCCCGTGGGGAGGGGAGCCACTGCCTTCCAGGAGCTGTGTGACTTGTGGCGTCCAAGATCCAAGTCAGCAGGGCAGGCCACCCTACAAAGGGTCAGATATCATTTGGGGGATGAATTGGGAAGGGCAAGATAGCTGTAGGGACTTGGAGGTGTGGGGTGGGGTTTAGGGTGTATGTGTGTGTATGTATGTGTGCGTGAGATCCCAAAAGAAAATCCCTAGCTTCGAGCTAGGTAGTGTGTTTGAAACAATGTGCTGTCAGAGTGGGACAATGTGGACCAACTACAGGACCCAGGGGTGGGGGGTGGGGGGCAGGCCACTCGATTCATGGAGGAGAAAGAGCCAGAATGGTTTCTCTGTGTGGGGCGGTCAATCTGCGAAAGAGCGTGAGCACCCACTGGCTGACCAGATCAGCTGTTCTTCCTCTTGGAAGAGGTGGGCGAGGGGGCCCAGAGAGCAGTTAGCAGCGTGGAATGGAGGTTGCCCCCAGCAGTAATCTGGAGATGTGGCATTGAGGGCGACAGTCGTCAGGTTCTGTCAACACACAGATGGCATTTGAAGAATGACAGCAGGCCGAGCCCAAGGAAAACAGTGGAGAGATCCCACAGGGTGGCTACCCCACTGGAGGCACTGGGCCGTGGGTCCTACGAGGTCTATGCATACATACCCCAGAATGGTATGTGAAACGTTCAGGGCACATTTGCCCGGGGAGCAGGCCCACGGCTTTTATTAGATTTGTGTTGGGAGTCCCCAGGAAGAGAATCAGTAGGTTTCGGGAGAGGAAGACTGCATGATGTCAGAGTGAAATACCTTGGATGCATTTGGCTAGAAAGATTGATGCAAGCCATGAGCCTGGGCAAGTAGTTCAAGGAGTAGAGGCGGAAGGACAGGAATAAGATCTTGGCCTTGAGGAACAGAGGTCAAGAACGGATCCAGAGAGAGACCACTTGGGGGTGATTCGAGAAGAGGGCAGTCCATGTAAGTAATTCATCAAAGGGGAGTTTCAAGGGCAGGGTAGCGAACAGCGTCTGAGCGGCTTTCTGATGGCAGCAAGGAGGAAATGGACCAAGCCCTGCCTCAGCGTCCTAAATGTGTATGATTCCACTCCACAACTCATACTGGGCAATGCAGAAGCCTGCTCCACACCCCCTCCCCCGTCTTCCCGGCCTCTAACTGTCCCTGTGTCCCTTGGATCCTCTCTCAGAACCCCAGCTGTGTCTGGGGTCAGGCCTGGCGACATGTGGCTGCTGGACCTTCTGCACAGCCCGCGGCATCTCCCCTGACTGACTGAGGCTCGGCTCCCTGCTGGCAGAGCTGCCAGAAGAGTGCACTCCGGCAGCCACCGTGCTAGGGCGAGCTCCCAGCTTGCCCTTCCCGCCTTTTGCCCCGCAGAGATCCGGGGCTCCAAGGAGACGGCTGCTCAGCCCCTGCCTCTGTACGACACACCCTACGAACCAGAGGAGGAGGGGGCCACCCCAGAGGGGGAGGGGGCCCCCTGGCCCTGGGAGTCCCGCCTGCCAGAGGATGATGAGAGGCCCCCTGAGGAGTACGACCAGCCGTGGGAGTGGAAGAAGGAACGAATTTCCAAAGCCTTTGCAGGTGAGACCCTGGGTGAGGCATGGCAGGGCCCTGAGCGAGACTGGGGCTCGTGCACGAACCGGACCTCAGGCCTGGGGAGGGGAGCGGAGTTCTATGCCCACCGAGTGGCGAGTCCGGTACTGTGGGTACGGCGCTGTGGTGCTCAGCCAGGGAACGGGGCACTGGGGAGGAGGAAGGCTTGTCCCTCGGAGGCTGAAAAGCCTGGGCCCCCTTCTGTCTTTTTTTGGGTGGACTAGATCTATTTTAAAATAAAGATACTTCACAATCAAATTGCAAAAACCGATAATGTGTGTTAAATATATCCGTGTTTAATAAAAGAGGCTTTGCACACTTCCAGCAATGCGAACAGCTGTGTGTGTGTGTAGCCTTTTAAGATAACAGCCCTGAATCTGAGGGCTTTGTCTCCAGTGGTAGGGTCTGCTGGAGCAGAGATGGGGGAGCGGACGGATGTGTGAGGCATGGGAACTGGTGGGGAGAGGGAAGCTGCGTGGAAGCCCGCTGGTTGCTGACAGAGGATGAGATTTCCCAGGTCACTCACAGCCACACCAGTGTCACCCTCACCAATGGAGGTCCAGGTGGTCTGAGTGATGGGGGGTGGAGTGAGCGCTGCAGGTACAGAGAGAGAGCTTTGGCTCCCTGGACTCAGGGAATGTTAAAGAACTTCAGTGCCTTGAGTCCTCATTCCCCCTCCCCCAGGCTGCCTCCCCTCTCCATAAGCCAAGAAGACCCAGCTCTGGGCTCGGGCCTCCTCCACCCACCCTGGCAGCCAGAGCGGGAAACCCACAGCTTTCTCGTTTTTCTTCCTGTAACCTGCACACGATTGAGGATGAGCCGTTTATCTCCCGAAGTCTCCTTGGAGAATCAATACTGTTTGGATTGCTTAATGGGAAAATCTATGCTCGTCATTAGGAAGCCTCGTTAGCGGCCTGGCAGCCGCGGGCGGCATCACTGTTCTAATTGTCGAGGCTCGGGCTAGGAGCAGGGGTGGGCATTGTTAAAATTCAATAAAACATCTGTCCCCACTTTGAGTATTCCTGCCCACCTGGAGCAGGGGCTGTCCGTCCCCCTTCTCACTGCCCACAAGTGCCCAAGGTGCGGGGGAGAAGGAAAAGGGTGGGGGGGCAGACTGGAGGTCCCAGGAGGCTGTGGGAACCTGGGGGTGGTGCTGGGAAGTGGGGAAGCTCCCCGCCTTTCTTTCCCTCAGGGCTCCACTGGGCCCTGGTGATGGTGAGGGCACAGAAGGGGCGGCATGGGGCTGTCTCTCTCTCTCAGCTCTCTGCCTGACCCCCCACCGTTTGACATGCCAGCCTGCTGAGCTCAGGGCTGGCTGTGCCTGGCCCTCTGAGAGCCCTCTACTGCCCCCTGCCCCACCTCCTTTCTAGGCTGTCTTGTGTCCTGGCTGAGTTTTGGTGTCTCAACCTCTGCCTTTCTCTGTCTCTGTCACTGTCTCTCTCCTCCCTGTTACTGGCTCCAGTTGACATTAAGGTCATCAAAGACCTACCTTGGCCTCCGCCCGTGGGACAGCTGGACAGCAGCCCCTCCCTGCCCGACGGGGACAGGGACATCTCCGGTCCAGCCTCACCCCTCCCTGAGCCCAACCTGGAGGACGGCAGCGGTGGGTTCTGCGGGGTCTTCCAGCCAGGGTGTTGTGGCCGGACACCTCAGGCCCTGTGGTGGGCTTGGGCTGGAGGTGGGGCAGGGTGTGGAGGACCCAGGCAGAATCGCCCCTGGCCCTAAGGAAGAGGGGCGAGACAAAGTGCACACACCCCAGCTATCTTTCCCACAGAAAATTCACTACTCCCAATTCACTGGAGAAGAGCTTTAGCAGTGCAGGAGACCTGGTGCCACAGTGGTTAGGTGCCAGGGCTACTGCAAGGTCAACAGTTCGAAACCACCAGCCTCTGAGGGAGATGGGATGGTTTCCACTCCCAGAAAGTTAGTCTCAGAAACCCACAGGGGCAGTTCTACCCTGTCCTCTTGGGGCACCATGAGTCAGCATCACCTCGATGGCAGTGAGCTTGGTTTTTAGCATCGTGGGGGTGATGCCAGCACAGGAAGTGCCGAACTCCTCAGAGCAAAGGGGTGGATTGGTGGTCTGGGCTTCAGAGCAAGACAGCCCTGGAGTCCTCATCGTCTTTGAGCGCGTGTGTGTGTGTGTGTGTGTGTGTGTGTGTGTGTGTGTACACCCATGTTCGCATGCTTTTGCAAGTGTGAGCTGACGTTTGGAACATAGGAGATGGAGGGTCTCGGTTAGGGGTGAGCTACGCAGTTAGCAAGGTCAGCCTGGGCTAGCTTGTGCGTCTGTGCTAATCTGTCGTGAGGGTTCACATGACTTGCCCGGTAGCTCGTGCTTACCTGGCTTACTAAGTGCTCAGTCCCTGTCGGGCTAAGTAAATAGGCAGAGAGGCTTTGGTTCCGGAAGAAGGGGTTGTGGGAGGGTTGGAGAGCCACACCTGAAAGCGTGACTCCTGGCATGGTGGGAAATTGTGAGCAGATTAGCAAGGGAGCACAAGGAAACCTGTGCTGTCCTTGCTTATTGGGTAATCTGACAGCCGTCTCTGTCCCCTTTGAGTTGAGTGTGTGCCTGGTCAGGGAGGGCAGAGCCAGCTGCTTCTGCTGGCCTCCTCGGGAGGGGCAGGGGAGCCTGTGGGCAGTGGACTTGGGGGAGGGACAGGCCCCCTGTCGTCTTTGGGCAGGAATAGCCTGTCAGGATGGCACCAAGGGGAATCGGATAATTGTTCTCCGATCAATAAGTCATTTCTGCAGAATGGCTTGGCAGGGTGATTTGGAGAACGGTAATGAACTCTGAGGAGGAGAAAGAAACAATATTATCAGGCTGCAGCCACCCTGCTGGGGGGAGGGTGGGGGACTAGGAGGCGGCAGTTGGCTGCTGCTGAGGGAGAAGACGCTTCAGTGGTCTCCCTTGTCGTTCTTCTCCCCTGGCCTTTTGGGGGGCGGGGGCCTGGGAGCTGCTGGGTAGCACAGGAGGCATCAAGCTCCCTTCCCCGCCCCCGCCCCCCTCCCGCCAGGGATGGGTCCAGGATTGTGTTCCAAGAGTCAAGTCAAGCCCATGAGCATGCCCTGCCCTTCTGGAATGTTCCTTTGGCTCCTTTCAATGCTAACAGGAAATGGGGATGAGGTACTGACCATTCAGTAGCACTGTAGCATGGGGGTTGTCAGAATCCCTGACTGGTATGTCCCCCACAGCCCAGTTTGAAGGATCGGAGAAGAGTTGCTTGTCACCTGGCCGGGAGGAGAAGGGGAGGCTACCTCCCCGGCTCTCTGCAGGGAACCCCAAGTCAGTCAAGCCCCTAAGCATGGAGCCCAGCAGCCCTCTGGGGGAGTGGACAGACCCAGTGCTGCCTCTGGAAAACCAGGTGTGAGTGTCCGTGTCCAGCTGGGGACTCCCCTGCGCCTCCCTTTCCCCTCTTGGCACTGGCCTGCCCGCTTGCAGGGTGGACCCAGAATGGGTGGGCCTGGGTGGCAAGGGGCCCAGCAGAGATGCCCTTCCCTCTTGCCCTCAGATGGTACCACGGGGCCATCAGCCGCACCGATGCCGAGAACCTGCTTCGGCTGTGCAAAGAGGCCAGCTACCTGGTGCGAAACAGCGAGACCAGCAAGAATGACTTCTCTCTCTCCCTCAAGTGAGTGTGGGTAGGAGGACGGAGGGCGCCCCGTCATTCCCCAGTGGCCAGCTAAGCTGAACCAGTCTCAGACCCTGTGAGCTCTTCAGGCTCATTTGGACACTAGGGATCCAAGATCTGCCACTCAGTCCTTGCTCTCAAGGAACTTGGAATTCATTGAGGAGGACAGATGTCACAACATGAGAAAGATTCTGTGTGACCTTGGGATCCCTTTAATGTCTCTAGACCTTGGTCTTCTTATAAAATGGGGCCTAATACTGTATTCTTTATAGAGAACCCCCAAAACCAAATACACTGCCATCGAGTCAGTGCTGACTCATAGCAACCCCCTGTGGGTTTCCAAGACTGTAACTGTTTACAGTAGAAAGCCCAGTCTTTCTCCCTTGGAGATGCTGGTGGGTTCAAGCTGCCACCCATCCCTGTCACAGCAGCCCAACTCTTAACCACTCCACCACTGGGGTTCCTTCCTTATCGAGGAGCTAATGTATGGGAAGCACTTCTCGTGGTGCTTAGTAAACAGTACATAGCACCGCGGGCCTGGGTGCTAGTGGCTAACAGGAATTTCAAAGAGTCCTTGAAGAGATGGCGAGCCAGGGGCCTTTCTTCCCACCTACCTGCTCCTGGTAGTCACATAGACACAGGCCGGCGTGGACTCCCAGTTTTAGCTGGTAGCAGTCAGAACACCCTGGAGTTCTGACTGCTATAGCTTACACCCATGGGAGGTCACCTATTAGAGAGGTGTGAATATTCACCTACCCCCATCAGTACTGGAGCATCTCCACCATGTTTCTTCACATTCACTGGGGGCAGAGCCCTGGTGGCAAAGTGGCTTATGCCCCACAGGTTCAGCAGTTCCAAATCACCTGGGGAGAAAGATGAGGCTTCCTACTCCTGTTAAGATTTACAGTCTCAGAAACCCATAGCAGTGGTTCTGCTCTATCCTGTAGGGGTCTCAGAGTCAGAGCCAACTCTGTGAGGTGTGTGTGTGTTTTTTAGTATACCGCTTCAAACGGCTGGTCTATGAAAATTTGACACTGCCGAACAGTTAGCCCAACTGCTATGGGTGGAAATGGACCAGGGACAAGGCATTTGAAGTGTTTTTCTTTCTTTTTTTAACTGATCCATCTGGGTAGTAATTATTCAACTTCACCAAAAAGATCATGGGGAAAAGTGCCAAGCTACATACAATTAAGAAACTCAGTCCTAAGTTATTCATTTAATAAAACTAGCTGTGACCCTGGGCAGATCATTGAACCATTCTGGGTCTCAAGAAGCCCTGGTAGGTCAGTGGTCAAGCTAGAAAGGTCTTTGGGTGTTTTTTTTTTTAATCATTTTATTAGGGGGCTCATGAAAGGTCCTTGGTTTGAAGCCACTAGCTGTTCCTCAGGAGTTAACAAGTCTGAGAGTCTGCTCCCGTGGCGAGGACAGCCTAGGAAAGACCTGCTGAGCAGGCCTACTGTCCTCTCTGTATTGCCATTATAAATCAGAATCCATCTAGTCACAACACAGTAGCCACAACTCTGGGTCCTGGTTGCTCCACCTGTAAAATAAGTTCCTGGACCTCCCCCTCACCCCCCAAAATGTTTTCTTTTGGCGCTTACACTCTCCTGGAGTCTGAAGCATTATTAAACCAAAGGGCCACTTAAGAAAAATTTATTTGTCAAAATTTTGGTTTACCTAACTTCGGGGATGCATATTGTTTCAAATGTTATAGTTAAGATGTATTTACCATGTAGAGAAAACATAGACACCGTCTCCAAACCCGCAATCACTAAACAAGATCAATCTGATTTTTATAGCCTGAAAGTGGATTTCAAAGAGGTACCCTGTCATGTTAGGAAAGGCCGCTCATCCAGCTGGGTGGAGCCAGGTTAGTCTTCTAAGCAAAGGAAGGGCCTGGTTCCCTGGGCTGAGCCTAAGGGTGGCCCTGCCTTAAGCCTGGGGGTAAAATGGGGAGGCAGGCCTGGGAGGGGCTTGAATGTGGGTTTCAGCCTAGGCTGTTCAGCCCTCCAGGCTTCTGTCTGCCAGAGCCTCGTTTGCATATAAATGGCTTCTCTGAAATACAATTATGGTTTCTTCTCTCTGTGTAATGGAAGGGCTTTCACTGGTAATTAAACAGCTTCCTCAAAAAGCCAAGCCAATGGCCCTGAGTGCATCTGGTCCCACCCTGTCCGCAGGGAAGAATCTTGGGAGGCTCTGACTACGTCTTAATGGGCTCTTGGGACTTTGTCCCAGGAGGTCAGGAAGCATGGATAATTCCTTCCAGGGGTGCCTATTGTACAGAGATTGGGGCTGGGTTCTCTGAGCACTGACCACTTGTTGCCCTTCTTAGCCAAGAAGATATGGGATAATGTGCGGTTTTTCAGGAGAGGTGGGTCCCCCCACAGTGAACTGTGGGAAGGGAGGAGCACCCTGGAGAGGTTCCACATTGCTGCCCACAGCCTTGGACCTGGGCCTTGGTGCAGGGCAGGCAGGCAGGGGAGGGTGACCACTCACTCACTGCCTCCTCATTCCAACCCACTTAGGACTCAGTCTACACATTGTCCTCAGGCTCTTACCCCCGCCACCCCCACCCCCACCCCCGTGCTCATTGCCAGCCCCAGCCCTTATCTCAGACCTGCAGAAGTACGGCTGGCCTCACACCCCAACACACTTACATCCAGACCCAGAGCAGGAAAGTCAGGTAGAGAGCCACCAGTCTAACTCAGGCTTCAGCTCATGCCACCCCCACCCCCCGCCCCTCACTTCCCGCTGCCCTGGGAGAAGCAGGTTGGAGCTAGGGGCTTGACTGCCCTTTCCTCCCCTCTTCCTCTCTCCAGTCTCCCACCCTTCTCACTTTGCAGCCTAGTGAAGTGGGTTCACACAGCTCCTTGTCCTGCGAAGGAGGTTTGGTACCCTCATCTCTCTTGGGAATCAGACTGAACTGAGTTCAAATCCTGATTTTGGTTCCTCACTAACAAGACATGTACCTCAGGGCAGAGGCAACCCCCTGTCCTAAGCCTACCTCCCCCCACCAGCCTCTAAGCCCTGTACTTGCCCCCCAGGTAGATGATTTCCCATTACAACAGCTTCTTCTGGACTATGAGTTTGACCCAAGGCCAGGAGACCACGCTGTGGTGGTTGAGACATACACGGGCCTTCCTGGTAGCCCACCCCCATGCCCTCTCTAAGGTGGATGGTGCCTGGACACAGGAGGTGGTCCTATCTCACATACTCGGAGCTCTGGGCAGCAGGGCCTTTGCCTGTGGGCAGGGCCAGGCACGTAGGTTGATTTCTTGGACTGCAGCAGGGAGATGGGGGGAGGCAGTGGAGCATGGCCTCTCTGAGGGAGGGAGGGGGGACTGAGCTGCAGTCTGAGAGCTGATGATGTCATTGCAGGCTGAAGGGTGGGATAGATAAAAAGGGGCTTGGCCCAAAGCCCAGACAGCAAGAGGATGAAGGAATATCCCAGGAGGAGGCAGCTGAGCTGCCCAAGAATTGGGAAGGGGGGCTGAGGGGCTTCCTGAGCAGCCCACCCCCATCCGATTCTCAAGGGAGATCCTTAAGTGCTCCCTAGCATAGCCTAATTGTCATGTCTCCCCACCAAGATTCCTACAAAGGGTGTGGCTCCACATGAATCACCAGGACCCCCCCCCACCAGGTGTCCTCCCAGGTAGTTCAGGGATGGTGGGGGGAAGCCAGCTGTGGCCACTAGGCTGAAGGACAGGGGAGCCTGCCTCTCAGTAGGTGTGCAGGTTGCTCCAGGTTCCACCTGCCCACACACATTCTGGGCACACCTAGGGCCCTCGGCTCACAAAGGCCCCCTCCCCCTCTTCCCTGCTTTCTGACCATCCTTCCCGGCCCACTCTCAGCGGCTTTGAGGGGTGAGGGGTGAAACCTTGGCGTCACTGGCCGGCCCGCGGGGGTGGGGTGGCTACAGAGAGCGCCCACTCACCAGCCTCTCCTTTTCTTTTGCCAGGAGCAGCCAGGGCTTCCTGCACATGAAGCTGTCCCGGACCAAGGAACACAAGTATGTGCTGGGCCAGAACAGCCCGCCCTTCAGCAGCGTCCCAGAAATCGTGCACCACTACACCAGCCACAAGCTGCCCATTAAGGGGGCTGAGCACATGTCGCTGCTCTACCCCGTGGCCATCCGGACATTGTAGATGTGTGGGGCTTCACCACCCCCCTCCGCGCCCACCCCGAACCGTGACAGACCTGGGCCTCGACCCCTGGCGGAGGGCTGTGCGTTATTTCCTGTGGACATGCCCTCGACCTCGCAAACCCATCTCCCCCTTCATGCCCTCGGATGCAGTGGAAGGCTGAGATTCCTTAATTTATTCCAAAGGGGAAGGGCCATGGGTTTGTGGCCTTAGGGGTGGCCGTGACTGAGTGTGGAGAGAATTCTGGCTACCCCCATCCCCCCCCACCCCCCTCCTGGGCAGAGGGCTCGAACCAAGGGAGGAGTTTAAGCGGGGCAACTTCAACCCCACTACAGCCCTAAGGCAGAGGGGACGCCCCCCTCCCCACTGCTCTTGGTCTTCCCCTCCATCCCGTGTCAATGCCGGGTGGCGCAGGACGCAAGCGCACACTGAGCGCTCTGGCCATCTCCGCCCCGCCCGCGCCCACCCCCCGCGTCTGCTGGGGGGGGTGGGGGGGATGGCGTGGCAGGGTGGGAAGCAGGGTGAGGGCGCGTGCCTGAGCGTTCCCCCGTGCAGTCCCGGGCCAGAGGCAATCAAAGGCGGCCCCGCCAGGCACGGCCCCCGCCTCCGCCTCCAGCGCCGCCCCCGGTCCCCGGGGAGGGAGCACAGATTCTGTTTATAAATCCGCTTCCGAGCCGACACCCGGCGGCTGTGAAAAGCACTTTCGAAGCAACGAGTTCCTTTCTTTGACGAGATGTCAAAACATCCCCCATCGCTCGGGGCCCCGGCGCAAGCGCGTCTTCCCAAGAGCGCGCCCAGTTTCCTGCCAAGCGCCATTTGTCTGGGAGGAGGGGAGGCGGCCGAGACAAAGGGGCGGCGCGCCGGGCGGCAGGAAGCCGGCGTTCCTGGCACGCGGGGAGCAGCGCGCCGGCGGGGCGGGACCGGACGCAGGCCCTGGGCTCGTCTTTTATCCCCATGCAGGAGGGCGGGGGTGGCTGGGGCTGGCGGCCGTTCTCCCGGGACTGGGGACCTGCGCGGCCGGGCGTGTTCGCCCCCTGCCGGCCGCGCCGAGAGCCGCATGCTCGGGGTCACAGCCCGCCTGGGACCCCACCTCTGGGGCCAGCCGAGGCCGCTAGGGCCCCCTCCTCCCCTGCCCTGGGAAATCACGTGACGGCCCGTTTCAGAAGCTACCCTCGCCATCCCTAATGAGTCAATCAAAGGATTTGTGAATCTGGATTCCAGTGGCCGTTTTCTCCAAACCAGGGATTTGTAATCCGACCAGTGTTCCAATTCTATGGGAACAACAGACTGATGACCTCAAATTGGGCGTGGTCCCATAGATTCCCTCCTAGAGGGTTGCCCTACTTTGTGAGAGGCTTGGAAACCGTCCCGCCATGTTGCCAACGGGAAAACAAGCCCATCTCAACCTGAAAGACCCACATTAGGCACCTGGCGCCCAGCTCTCCCATTGCCCAAAGAAGAGCAGGGTGTAACCAAACTCCTGAAGTAGCCGCCCAACTCTGCTGGGGGTGCTGTGCCCTGCTCTCAGTTCCTCTCTAGAGCATCCAGCCCCCTCCAGAACCCACTGCCCCCCTTCTCAGTGTATACCCTCCTGCAGGAGCTTCAGCAGAAACCACCTCCAAACCAGAAAACCACTGCCACTGTCAATTCAGACCTATCACTCCCTGCCACCGAGTCAATACCGACTCAAAGTCTTAGGGATGGGGTAGAACTGCCTCTGACTTTCCAAGACTATAACTCTTGACAGTAGAAAGCCCCATCTTTCTCCTGCTGAGCAGCTGGTGGTTTCTAACTGCTAACCTTTCAGATTGCAGCCCAGGGTGTAACTACGACGACACCAGGGCTGCTCCTGACTCATAGTGACTTTAAAGATTCCAAGGCTGTGAATCTTTACAGGAGCAGATAGCCTCACCGGTCTCCCAAGGGGCAACTGGTAGGTTTGAAATGGCAACCTAGTTGGGACCTAGCCGTCCCAGCAGTTAGTGGACTGTACCACAGGGCTCCTTTCTCCCTGCCATCAGTTAATTCCAACTCAGTAGCAAGCCACCCTAGTGTAGAGGGTCCCAGAGGTTTTGTAAATCGAGGCTGGTGGATATGAACCACAGACCTGTGGTTACCAGTGCACCCTTTCCCCGACAGCACCACCCGCCCCTTTTCTACCCACCCCAGAGGCCCTTCATTAAGAAAGGCAGTCCCAGGGAAGGGATCCTTGATTTAGTGAATCCCCATGAGAGGCACAGAGAGAAAGTCAACTGACTTTAGTCAGCTGGTTGGGTAAGTGGCTTCTGGTGCCACGCCTCATCCCCAGGCAGAATAAAGAAGCCCTGGGAGCAGAAAAGGGATTTATTTGTGAGGGAAACTATTGGAGCAGGAGGAGAGAGCATGGTGAGAACCACACAGCTGGGTATTGGGTTAGTGCCTGACTACACACTGAAAAACTTAGATCAATTGTACTGTAAGTACAATTGTACTGTAAGTTTCTGGTCATCTCTGGGTCCAGCCTCTTTCCACTCGATGGCATTTCCCAGCCCTTTTGAAAATGCAGCCCAAAGAAGGGCAAGGTTCTGGGGTAGGGGGCTCTAAGATGCCAGCATCTATCTGTGCTTCCGTCCTTCATTCTTAGCTTCCGGCCCCATCGCACGCACTTGCACACATACAGCTCTAGCATTTTGAGTTTGTTTCTTATCCTGAATGGGGCTTCAGTTTGCCCCCAAAGGAATATGAGCTCTGGAAATGCTCGGCCCCAGGCAGTGCCCTCCCCACTCCCAATTTCTCTAGGCTAAAACATCTGAGCCTGGGAGGAGGTGACAGGCAAGCAGAAACAGGAACAGAGGTGATGTGTGGACCCAATTTTCTGCTCAGCTGGGCAGTGGGCCTAGAAGTTCTCGTAATGGTGTGAGAAATGAGTCCGGTCCTGCTTGTTGATAAGCTGACAGGCCTTTTCCACATTCTTGGTCATGCCTGGGGGCCCGCAGCTAAACACCCCGATCTTCTGGACCTGTTGAGAAGGAAGTTGGAGAGGCTAGGTTGGTGCTCATAGCTCCACTCCTTTGTTACAAAGACTAGCAAGAACCCACAGGGAGGCTCACTCGCTGAGCATTCCTAAGTGGAGCTCAGTTTGAGTGAGTGTGAGGTGAGTATGTCGGAGAGGGTTAAGAATCAATACTCCAGAGACAGCTCAGTGTCTCTGAGTGCCAGTGCAGTATTTATGAGACTAGTGCCTCTGTGTTTACGGTAATTACCTTTGTGTCCAGGTGAAAGCTGACTCAATTCAGGGTGAAGGGTAGCTGAGTTTATGGGCCACATTGGCTCACCGCTGGCTTCAGAAGCCCCAGGTCCCTCCGGGTACTGCCTGCCTAGCCCTGTCCATTCCATCACCCCCACCAGGGATGGAACCCCTAGGGGGAGGGGTTCTCAGCAGCAGGCTACTCCTTCCCTGAACTTCACGCAGGCCCCAGATGACAAAGGTAGCGGTATCTGGAAGCTGACCTGGGGGTGGACTTCCTGCAGAGAGTTGAAGAAGGGCTCGAAAGGGGGGCGGCCAAAGTGCGTGATGGAGTGCAGGCCCGTGAACAGACTCCGGTTCAGCACCTTCTGGAAGTGCCGCTCACAGATGTACTGGGGGATGGGGAGAAGATGGGGAGGGGCCGTCATGTCGGGTACTGCCAGGCCCAGCGTCCAGCCCAGAGGTGGCGGGCCCTGACGCACCAGCATGGTGGTCCTGAGGTCGAACTTCTCGGCCAGCTGCGTGATGTAGATGTGCACCGACACCAGGTCCTGGCGGTCATTCTCCTCCACCTCCCGGATGATGTCGGCCAGCCACTCGAACTGCCGCTGCGTCCGCGTCACCCAGATGAAGTAGATCTGGGGACACGGGACACGAGGCTCCAGTGTGGAACCCGACTGAGCTGAGCTGGGCTCTGGCTCCCAACATCCCAGGGGTCTCCACACTGAGCATTAGAGTCCTCAGACTTCAGTCAGCTTGTACTCCCCGCCACTCCCACCCCCACCCCCCACAAGCCTGGGAGGTAGGTCCCGATTTCTATGGGCATGGTGAGCTGAATGAGCTCTCCTGGGGTGACGGAGAGAAGCCCCTTGGGAACCGTGAGCTGTAGGTCTGCTCTCTACGGAAGCGCCTTCAAGCGGAGTCTTCCTGCCTCTCCCTCCGGTGGGCTTCCCCCTTAGGCTGCCCACAGCGAGAGGGGTCCAGCAGAGGGACCTTCTCAGCACAGCCCCCATTTGTCCCCAGCTCAGCTCAGACTGGTCATGGAGCGAGCGAGACCCCTTTGGGGGTCAAACGACCCTTTCACAGGGGTCGTGCAATTCAGAACAGTAGCAAAATGACTGATGAAGTAGCAACGAAAACAGTTTTCTGTTGAGGGGTCACCACCACATGAGGAACTGTATGAAAGGGTCACGGCGTTAGGAAGGTTGAGAACCGCCGGATGACAGGAACCCGGTGTTAGGAAAGCACAATGTGGCGACATGTGTTCTGTAAATTCATCCACACCATCGTCCTGAGAGAGGGAGGGCGACTGGGAGATGGAAATTGCCTGGAGGCTTCACTGTCGCGTGGGTTGGAGCGGTGGCCCCTCTAGCCTGACCCGGAGAAGGAGAGGCAGAGCTGGCACAGAAGGGAGCTGCTGTCACCCTCGGAGTGCCGACAGCACATGGGCCGGGCCTCTGCCTGCGAATTCCTGCTTCCCTGACTCACCTGCCAGGCCCAGGGAGACAGGCAGGGGCCTGCCACCAGGCCCAGGCTGAGCTGAAGGGCCCAGTGGGGAGGGAGCCTAAAGGCCTGAGCTGCGTCCCTGGGGCCGGCCCTGCCTGGTCACCTCCCCTTTTCCTCTTGAGAGCCAAGCCAGTTTCACTGGAGCCCCACCCAAAGCACACCCTTCCCACACCTCCACTCCAGGCCAGTGCTCGGAGAGTGAGTCTCCTCTCCCAAGCAGACGGGTTTCTTTCTTTATCCCTTCCCAACCCTGCTAGAGGGGATCTAGAAACCAACTCTAGATGGGCAGCCCCACTGTGGAGGGAGCAAGCCTTTGTAAACCAGCCAGGGCCTCCGAGGATACTTACGAACCAAGTCTTGTCTTGAAGGCTCTGGGGCCATCTTGACCTGGTCCCAGCCCATATCAGTCAGGCCGAAGGCAGAGGCAGCAGAGAGGGACACCCGGCTGCACTGACCGGAAGCAGGGAGACAGGGCTGTTGGGAGGAAGGCATGCTTACCTTCTTACAGAACACTTGGCAGCTGACTGATGACTTGAAGACCAGGTCTTTGAGGATGGAGGCAAAGGGGGTGACCCCAATGCCCCCTCCCACCAGCACAGACACCTCAAACTTGTGCCACTCCTGATGGCCTTCTCCGAACGGTCCGTCAAGGTACAGCTGCAGAAAGGGGTTGGGTTTGGGTGTCGCTTGGCCACTACCATGCTGAGCCCAAAGTGTGAAGCGTGAGGCAGGGACAGGCAGATGACACCGTAGACCCCTGGAGTTGGGGTATGGGGAGGGAGGGGAACCAGAGGCTTAAGGCATGATCGAGGTTGGGAGAGCTGATGCTTTAGGGTCAAGGTCTGCTAAGGGGATGTGGGAGTGCACAGCATGCCTGGGTCTGGGCACCTTTGGGTATCTGGCACTGCCACCGCCCGTTGGGGGTGAGTAGATCTCCCTGAGGCGGGTGGTCCAGGGCCCCGCGGCCCGGATGTGC